AAAGTCTTAGAAAAACACTCATTACTTGTTGACAAACAGAAAGACAATCAAAATTAATTCCATTATAATATTAATAAACATTTTTTTAATTATGTTAGATAATATAATATTTAATTATGTTAATGTAATATAATATATAAATATAAATTAATTTTATTAAAAGATTTAAAATTAAGTATAAATTAAAATTATTTATTAATTTTGAAGAACTTATGCCTCGCACATCTGTATTAATTATTTTACGAAAGAAGTTTAAAACGTTTCATCATTGGGCTTTATCTCCTTTCGTAATAGCGCTACTAATATAGCAAAAAGTCTATTAACTTTATTGGGTGAAATAATCTTTTACGGTTCACCAAGATGTCAATCAATGAGCGGGACACCTTCCACCAGAATGAAGATAAATTCGCAGCTTATCAGTCTATTAAGACAAATTCGAGATTTCAGGAACCGCCAATGGACCATAAGGAATCCCATCGCAACATGTTCGCGGCGCGTGCTTGCGCTGATATCATACTCATCCCCGTCCGATCCGTATTGGCCCTGGCAACTGCGGAACAAAGTTCAGCCTATACGGAGTCAACTACATCACTGGGCCATCGTAACGATTCACCTCCAGTCTCCGTGAACGCGTCGTCGAGAACGTCGGTCACTACAAGGAGGAGAATTGTTCTCGGGGATCAGAGAGAGAAAGAAAGAGAGAGAGAGAGAGAGAGAGAGAGAGAGAGAGATCCATCTTCTATATTTGTAAAAAAAATTATTGCCGATTCCGCAGAGTAACGTTTGGAATAGAGAAATATAATACCTAAGAATACGTAAAGAGAAAAAAAAGGAAAGAAGCGAGGCCACGATTGACGAAGCGGTTTGCAATCTCACGAGATATCGACTCAGCGATTATGGTGACCTGCCTGACTTTTACAACTTTGTCAGTAAAATTAATATTGCGCAAATTACGCGCCAATCCTGTTGGAATTTAGAAAGAAATACAGAAATCGCCAGTTTAAATTGACTTAATTTGAAAGTTATAAATATCGATATACCAGAACTACTGAAATATAATTTGAACATTCGTCTTAAATATATTTACAAAGTCATGAAGATCGATGGTACTTGAAGATATTTAAATTCAGGTTATTAATTGAATTCAGTGTCGAACTTAGTGTTAAACTCAGTCGACGAAATAATGTCGATAATATCAACGTGTAAATTGTTTTCGATGTCTAAACTCGAGTAAATCATCACGAATAAATCATCAGCGGATTAACCTACGTGGTTAAATCAAAGAGTAAAGAAGAAGTCGAATTAAAGAAGAATCAGTTCCATCTGGATTGCGGTGGAAAAATGCGTCTCTTCATGGAAATCTTTTTTATTCTTCTCATAGGGAGTATCGCAGCTCAATGGGCGATCAGCCCTCTGAGAATACACACATTGCTACCCCATTTGTCGTCCGAATCGTCAATCAACAAAGAGGCTGACTGCACCGGTTGCGCACAAAATAAAGTTAATGTGATTGAATCTGACCCGCTGTTGACCGAGCTTAGAGTGGAGTACGTGAAGCAGCAGATTCTGAAGAAACTACGACTGTCAAAACCGCCCGAAGTCTCGATGCCACTGTCGACCTTGCCTAAACCTTTAATCAACGGTAATGTTCTTCGACCCAGTTTAGAAAGACCGGCAGAGAACTTCTACGGGAAAACCAACCAGGTCGTCGTGTTCCCAAACGAAGGTGAGATTTCATAAATTAAAATAAACAAGATTAACGACAGAGTCCGACCAAAACTGAACCGAAACACTCGGCTATATATTAATTTCAACCGAAATCAAAATTAACAAATAGGTATCCTATAAAGGCCATAGACATATCCATATATTCTTTTTCTTCATAAATATTATAATTTATTGAAACAATAATTAAATTTTGACCGAAATCGAAAACCGTTGTCAATTTTGTCAAAGAATATAAGTGCTTCGTTTTCCTAAACATCATAATTTAATTATTGAAACAATAATTACACATATTAAAATTAATATTTAGAAGAAGAGCTATATGGTTTCAGTCGACACGTAGTGAGTGTTTGTTTTCAATTTCGACAGAAGATTGGATTTTAAGTAACGATTGTTATTTAAAATCTCTGCCTTTCCTTTTTACAGAATACAAAGAAATATTATTGAACGGGACAAAAAAGCAATTTTATTGCAATATAAAATCAATTAAGACATGTAGTATGCTAAAACTATCTTAATAAATAATAAACTATCTTTATATTTTTATAATATTTTATAAAGCATTACAATTTTTGAAAATTTATTAAAATACATAATTTTTCCGAGAGTAAAAATTATGTATGTATATACACACACACACACACACATATATATATATATATACATATTATATATACATATACTAAGAAAAATGTTCCGATTAAATTAAAAAAAGGTACAACAAAATGATATTCTGATAAGACCAAATAGAAAATTTTTATTATAACAAAAGAAATTCTGTTTGATCAAAATACTATTCTTGAAATATTTTTGTTGATTTATATAATATTTTTTTTAGTATATAATTTTTATCCTCGAATAAATTATACTTGAATAAATTTGTAAAAATTTGTATTTTTCTTTTTTAAAAAATATAAAAATACACAGTTTATTAAGAAAATTTTTACAATAACTGAATCAAATTATTATCTCAATAATATAATATCTTAATAATATAATCTATCGACGAATTCGAATATTTGACACACTAGGACTGTGTCATATGAAAAAAATATATACGATACTCGCGAATGATGTATATTTTTCAATAAAATATAAATACTTGTTCGAAATTGTCAAAACAATTAAATTTTAAAAAATAGGTCAAGAATGACAAAAGTAAGATCAAAAGCGTTAATTTATTATGGCAACTTTTAAAATTTTGTTTAAATCGCTTAAACTATAAATCGTATAAATAGTACTAAACTTATGAAAAAAATTTGACAATACTTTTGTCTATATATAATTATACGTAAATTTTATTATAAAAATATTCAACCAGATGTAGACTACTAATGATGGTTATTTATATCCACGTACGATGCGTAGACGGAGAAAAAGTGAAGAACGAACAACAGAAAAATACACATCATTCACGAATATTGTATGTATCTTTCTCATATGATACAGCCCTAGTCTCCGAGTATTCAAATGTGAAACAAAATCTCTGAATATCGAGCATGCACAAGCTTTTTCGATGGAGCGCAAACTGAAATCCGCAAATGAACTATTGTGCTAGAAACGTATCCGAGTAAGTACACAAATACACGAAATTTATAACGAATTAGAAGAACGTGTAATCCGTAAATGTAACCGTTAATGTAATATGTAATTTTGAAAAATCAAAAAAGTATAAATACAATGACTTTTTTAAAATAGGTAATTGCTACTATCAATGGACAATTACTAACTCGTAGAAAACTAAATTTCAATTTTCTCACACAAAGCATCTTAGTTAATATATTGTATTATTTCCGATATAATTTATAATATCATTTAGTATCCAATTTTACATTCGCAGGTTGCATATTTATGCGCAAAACTGAGCGTCTCGCATGGAGAACATCCCTCCGAGAAGCTTGTTTCTTTCTCTTTGCTGTCGACTGACCGTTCCTCTCGACAATCCCTTCTTGACTAGCCAGACGAAACACCGGCGAGGACATGAATATTGCGTAATTGCACGGCTCCCTCGAAATAAACGAGAACCGGTAACAATGATGCCATTTCTGTTTCTCTCTTTCTCTTTCTCTCCCCCCCCTCTCTCTCTCTCTCTCTTTCTCTCGACACTTCTGGAATAGAGGTACCACTACCGGCTGGAACCATGAATTTCAAATTTTCCGCGACGATGCAAATACGGAAGCCGGGCGAACGACGCGCGTATGAATCCCGACAGTGCGGCGGAAATTTACCTCGAATTACAACGCAAAATCACGGTTCCGATATTTTAATCGCCTGTGTGAATTATTTTCGACGTGCTTGACGAATTTCTTAAAATCACGAAGAAAAACTTTTCTCTTGGAAAATTCCCGTCCCGTTCGCGAAGTCACTTTGAACCCCGTCATTCCGAAAAGTTCTATTGAAAGCGTGAGAAAATGAAGAAGTAATGAATAATAAAAATTAAACAAATGTATAAAAAAATGTATAAAATTGGTAAAATTATTCATTTAAATCTTTACCCCTTATGAGGAAATTTAAAATAACTATAAGATGACATAGTAAACTCAGAGAAAAAGACTCAGTGTCAAATATATAAAAGTGATAACTATATAAGTTTTATATTTAAAATTAACACATTCAATAAATTATTTTATTCAACTATGATTGCGTTCCATTTACATCACTCGCAACGCTCGCGAACACTATTTGTCCTTGTTTAACATTTGATAAATAAAACGACAAGGATGGAATGATTCCACGAGCGTTGTGAGCGTTAAGGAACGTTGTGGAACGTAGCATATATATATTATTTCTACATATATAAAACTTTTATTTCTACACATAAAACTTGTATAATAGTCACCTTTACAGAACTGCATATTTTTTTTCTAAATATAGGCCGAGACAATAAAAGAATTTATTAAATCTCTTTATTAGATACTCATAATAAATGTAGCTCAGATCTCGCTGTAATTCTGATTGTCCGTTTCGGCTTATCTGACTACTGATACGACCAAACAATCTTATACCGGATCCATATGAGCTCTAATCATTTATTAACATACGAGGAACCATTGTTTCCAAGAAAAAATACTAACAGTAGTATCTATTGATATGGAACGTTCATGTATCGAACATCCGTAAACACGAAATCAAACTTTTTCTGTTATTTCCGGAACATTTCTCTTATATATAATTCTTATATATTTCTCTTATATATAAGATAATACACGTAGAAATTCTAAGATAGTATACGTCAAAGTTTTTTACGCTTGAAACCAGCTGTTACCATTTCGGCATTCTACTGCGTCATGCAACTTTATTCGCAACGAAGCCATGCATAATTTACGAACACGTAATTTCTTGCCACCGACAGAATATAGGAATACGATAATATAATCGTATCGTTCATCGGTTGCACGAATATGCTAAATATTATTGCCCTGAATTTTTTCACGCCTCTTTTTGCAATGTTTTTCGCATACGCGATTGTGACTCTGCATTTAACGAAAGCATCGATCGCGCGAAGCTCCTTTTATTAGTAATAATTCTCACCATATACCTTTTTCCTCGAAGTATTACTTTGTATTTTATTAATTATTCTTAACTTTATATAATTATAAAATATTGTAAATTTCTAGTTTTCTATCATCAATTTTTAACAGCAATTTATTAATTGTATAATATAAAGCATTCGTAAAGTTTATAGTTACCTCAATTTGCGAAAAAGTTTTTTTTAAACATTTCAATTGCACTTGTTTTAAAAAATAACCATGATATCTCTCTCTCTCTCTCTCTCTCTCTCTCTCTTCCCCCTTCCTCTCTCCTTCTCTCGAGAATATAGCTTTTTATTGCGCTGTTGAAGTAATTCTCTGTTCTCGAGATTCTTCAAAATAATCATAAAAATTTCGAAACTCAGTTTATGATTTTTCTATTCGCTGATATTCTATATCAACTCTTGTTTCATGAACCTTCGCTCTGCGTGAAGTCACATTTACAATAATGACTAAGTATTCACCAAGGATTCGAATCGGATCAGAATGTAAGAACCAACTAACTACAATTGAGCATTCCTCTCTCATTCGACTGTACTTGGTTAATTCTTGTATTCTAACCCGGTTCAAACCCTCGGCGAAAACTTTTAGTCAGTATTGTATTTAAAAAACATCATGTTTAATTCTTGTTATTCGCACGCGATAGATATGATGTTATCATAGTTCGAAGAAAATTATCCAACGATATGATTCATCTATTTTGTATTCTCTGATCCGACATGACCCAAAATATTCGCTTTTTATCTAATTTTGATGCAAAATATATATAAACTATATCATGCGTTTATCATACAAACTCACATATATGTGTATAAATAGCAAATCAGGATTTCATCATTGGAACATTTATTATTTGGCTTAGTTAACCCGCAGCGATTTCGGTGCGAAATCTGCAGATTACGGCGATATGATCGAGATCAATGAACCGGAAATGTTCATCGCGTTGTTGAATCGCCGCGACATCGAAAAGTAGTGCACGCTCGAGAATGTCCTGAAGGTATACTGTGAAATTCGTTCCGAAAATATCCGAAGATACGGAACGACTCTACTCTAATATAACCCGGAAATCGGATTTCTGAATGAAAATCTTATGAACTTTGAGAATTCGCAAGCTAGAATCTGGCTTCAATAGAATATGAGGTCAGCGAAACCCAATATGATGTGCAGCGATTACCTGTATAAATTATCAAGGGAAAGAATTAGTCTTAGAAGAAATTAATCATGTTACATAAAAAGTGCTAATACTGAGCAAATACAGGATATTCATGTGTCTGTACCGTTTATTGTCTAAAATTAGAAAAAAGTCACAAAGCTTAGTATAGGAATATATTTATAAGGTCTGGTTATTTTTTTTTTGTATTGATAATGATCCAAAAGAATTGAAACGTATATACTTTAATATCTTTTAGATTTTACAATACAATATGACAACTACTTATTTTTTTCTCTAAATATAGGCTGAGACAAAGAAAAAGAACTTATTAAGGTTCTTCGTTACTCATAATACATGTACATAGCTCTCGCTGTAATTCAGATTGCCTATTTCGGCTTACATATTTGATACAATAGGATGTAATAGGATATATATATCTGTTTTCCTCTTTTCATTAAAAAAATGTTAAAAAAATGGAAAATAAAATAATCTAATGTTATCTTTATGAGATTAGAATTTTATTAACATATTGACATGTAAGAATGCACAAAGCATTATTTTACAAACAATAGATTTATCTACTTATTTACTTACTTATTTACGTACTTATTTCTGTAATGTTACATTCAGTATTCCTGATTGGTCATATTGGTCATATTCTACCTTACAAAGAGTTTTTCTCTTTGGTTATAAACAAAACCTTATGACAAAAATATAAACTAAATACAGTGTGTTGTAAAATATGAATACAAAGTTATAATAAGATGAATTACGGAAATTGAGAATCCATGGTAGTTATAGAAAGCAATTATTTGCCTATGATATGTTGTATTACATCATAACTAGAACATTTTGCCTTAATGACAATAACAGAATAAATTAAAATTATAACCGTTATTTTCAGAGATAGCTATAACTATTATATACACTATATATATATATATATATATATATACATATATACTTTTTTATATATAGCTAACTATATGTATTTACTATGTTGTTATAGCCACAAATACTAAAAGTTCATTACGTAAGTAAGTACAAATGAATAAGTACAAACTTGCACATATAGAGTTTGTACTTATTCGTTCGTATTTATTTATGAAATGAAGTAAATGTCGTTCTATAAAAAAAGTTTTATTTTTCTGATACGAATGCAATATACATGCGTACATTAAACGAATGAGAAAAACGCGTTGTATACGCGAAAAATACAGTGCGCATGTGTCGCTGACGTTTGGCACGCATTGTGCAACGATATAGATTCACTCTGACGCCTGACGTTGCATAATTCTAGCTATAAATCATACGGAAGTGGCGATCAATCGGACATGCTGATCACCCAAGAATCCGTCCGGAAATCATTTCGACGCGCTTGATAGTGTGTGTTATATCATGGATTGCTCCAATCATCGATGCGTGCACGTTGGCAAAGCGTGTAGAGCACGACTTTTCATATCGATTTGTTATGAACGGATACAGATAACTTTAATTAATATTTGTCATAAAACATTTCATGAAATAGTATCAATAATCGTAATTCTGCAAAACAACTTGGAATTTTCCATAAGCTAATTTGAAAAACATTTAAAGTCTTATTTTACATTATAAAACGTTCTTTGATATATGTTGAGGAAATGGAATGATAATTATAAATTAGAAAATATATGTAGAGAAAGTCATGAATTACAACTTGGTGTATAAAGCTCTCTCAAAAATTGACGTAAATGTTTTAAATCTAACTAAAAATAATTTTATTATAAAATAATATTTATTTCCATAACAATTTTAATATTTTATTAATCCTCTTTTGATTTTATTACCGATTTATTTAAGAAAGTAAAATAAATTGAGAGTGTTTTGTACTTATGGTGAAAGCTGCATATCTTTTCAGTAATTTTTTGCAATAATGAATTTTTTTCTATTGGACGAAGATAGTTCTATCATCGACGTTTCTGTTTAACCTTATGCTTGCATATCGTACATAAAAATAACTTTTGCCGCACTTTGTCGCAGTTACGAGAACCTTTTAGAGCGCACTTTTTCAGGTAATTGTGGTTCCATTTGAGGCTTACTTCTAGTACCACCATAAATTGCCGACTGTACACGGCCAAAGGCGTACTCTCAAAAGTTTCGAATAACTGAGTCTTTGGTGCTGTTCATTGATGTTATAGTTTGTAATGAAATAGCATAGATATATGTATGCGTTCGTCATAGAGAAAGGAACTGGATAGTCACCATACACTCAATTCTCTCTCAAATGAAAAATACTATATTCTAAATTTCTTGGAATGAAATTCATTCCAAGAGAGTAAAAATACAATCATCCTTTAAAAAAAAAGTGAAATATTTTCGAATTTCAAACTATTTGTTACGCAAAAGATAGCAAATGAAAGATCAGGCAGTACAGTTTTCAATTCTGTATAAAAATACAGTAACTTTATTCCTGGATGAGTTATTTATACATATAAAAATCTTTTACAGAGAGAACAAATAACGCCACAACTTATTATACAATATGTATTATAAGGTCTTAATAAGAATAATAAATAAATAAAATAAACTAAGAAATTATACTAATAATTTGTAGTTAATACTGCTATATTTTCTTAGTTCATATAACTTATTTATTGTTTTTATTATAACACACAGTTGAAGTGCTATTTGTCCTTAAACTATTTGTTAATACATTTTTTTGAGTATAGATGTAATTATATATAAAAGATAGAATGGCATTACTAATATGAACATTTGACTATAAGTATATGTTTCCTAATTATGCTTTGAATTATGTGTTTGTTACCACAATATTTAATAGTACAATTTATTAATATGAAATTTCCATTTATTTATAAAATAGCTACACGTGTATGCAATACAGTTACATGAATGCATATCATAGTTATGATAATCATAATTCAATGTTGAAGCAGCTATAATTAAAACAACTATAAATAGTTGTCCTAAAAAATGACTATAAATTATAATAATTAAATTGTAATAGTCCAAACATTTTTCTCTCAGTATATTTTCGTGTAAAAGACAAGAATATCTTTAAATTAAAATTAAAATGTATATCTTAAATCAAAAAAATTTAACAATTTCCGTTTGTTGTTAATAATTATCAATATATCTATTCATATAGGTTTTTAAGTAAATGTAATGGAAATTTTTTATAAATCATATTTAATTATATTCAAACATAAATATCTTAAAATTCACACAGAAAGAACAATTTTACTTTAAAAATTTAGTCAAATACTGAAAATAATTTTGTTACATCATCAAAATAATTACTCAAGAATCTGAAACATAATGAAATTTTGAATACAAAATGATTTGACATTCTTATAACAATTAATTAATTGTAATTAATTGTAACAGTAGCAACACAATGTTCTACATATGTAATTATTTTGATGGTCCAACAAAATTATTTTCGATCTGCATTTAGCTAAATTTTTACTTTAACAAAATCATCTTTTTCATGCAAGAATCAAAGAATTTAGCAAAAAAATTAATATCTCATTTAGGATCAAATTTCGGTAAAATCATACAATCAAACAATTGTGTTACACTGTCTCAAAAAAAAAACGATCGAACTATGGTTACAGGTGTAGCCGATTCGACGCAATACCATCAGAGCTCGAATCACATAACAGGATTCAATCCAGCGGTCTGTTTCACGTTCTACTTGCCGAATGAGATGCTGTACGTCGACGTGATCTCGGCAGAGCTTTGGTTTTACAAGGAACAGGTCGAAAACATCGATGAGCTCAAGCAGACATTCGTGCTATCTGAACTCGATCACTGGGACCAGGGCGGTAGATTCGAAAAGAACACCTTTATGGCAATCTTTGAGACCGATATCAAAGGTGAGTAAATGGTAAATGGAATCTCTCTTTCTCTCTCTCTTTCTCTCTCTCTCTCTCTCTCTTCCTCCCCCTTCCCTCCCTCCCCATCCCCTCCTGCAATCTTTATCCATATATTTGCCAAAAATAAATCTATATTGTAATAGATATCTTCCATCATGAAATTTCATTATTCCATTGCATTGCATGTACTTTGCAAACCTGTCTTCCATTGCACTTTGTTTTTTACCGAAAATTTGATACGAATGCTAAGAGATAACTTTTTCATATCACAATATCCGAAACAATTTCTAACATCATTTAATACCTATTTAATACCTAGTATAAGATGTGACTAAAAATCGATTGTTGAACGTTTAAATTAAAATTTAATAACGAAATTTACACATTAAAAAATATCGCAAATTATAATGATAAATTTGAAAATTTTGATTTTCTTTAAAAATTTTAAATTCTACATATATAGTAAAGAAATAGAGTGGAATGGAATATAGGTGTATAAAAAGATACATACTGTCTGAATAAGTTATATTTTCTGTAAACTTTCATGGTCAAGTTTTATGGCTCCTCTGATGCGACACTGCACATAAAAAAATCGTTAATTTTTTTCTTTCAGAGGGTTGGGTAAAGATAGATATGAAGTTTATGGTGAAGAAATGGATAGGTCGACGTCGATTGAACCATTCCATTCAGATAGCCTGCACAACCTGTTCGACCGATCACGATAAAGCGCCTGTGTCGATCGAACAGACTCTGAAACCGTTTCTAGTAATCCATACGGAGCCATTGCCACAACGGAACAGGCCCAAGAGGCACTCGAATTGCGTACCCGAGATGACGGATTGCTGTCGGGACGAGCTCTATATTAATTTTAAGGATATCGGCTGGAGCGACTGGATCTTACACCCCACCGGATATCATGCGTATTTCTGTCGAGGATCCTGCTCCACAGCGACATCTTTAACCGTCAGCGGTTCCCAATACAACAGCATTATCATGGTGAGCGTAATATAACTCCCTTACATCGTAATATAACTCTTACATCATTGGTGTTCGATACAATAGGTCTATACTTTTTAGTTAAATTTCTAGCACGATTCATCTTTTTCCTTTTACGTTGGAGAGAAAAAGAAAAAAAATAAACTGTGCACAAGAAATTAAGAACAGAAGAGATCTTGGATCTAACAATCATTCATCAATAACTATGATTTAGTTCGAAATAATTAAGAAGACTTTTTCTTTTTACGAACAATATCAACGATATTAGTAATATTAACATATGAAAGCTAATGTAATAATTTGTAGTATACATTTAAATTTGTATGATTAATTATATTCACAGGTTATATTAATGTGTTAAAAGCTAGCATTATTAAAAAGCTTAGTTAACATTTAATAATGTTATAATTTGTAATATAAATGTAAACCTTTTAACATCAATTTTTTTAAATTAGATTCTTCTTACAAAAAAGTATTTTACCGCTTTTACACCTTATATGGTGAGAGTGGACCATTATCAGCTATTCTATTATTTTAATACTCATTTCTGACAAACATTTCTCTCAAACACACACATTCTCTTACGAAGGAATATGATAAGTATATGCAAGAGAGTATTTTTAAATAGATTGCCTGTTTTAAATACTCCTTTTTCAGCTAATGAGACAACACGTTACGTTCCTCCTTTATTCAATTTTATTTAATGCACAAAGATCAAAATACATTAAAGACGTATATTTATTTATCGTTTATTTAGACGTTTATTAATTACCGTATCAATTTCAAATTAAATGATCAAAAGAATATACTTATTTCTAGGCATTATTTGTTAATTTTTCATTAGCCGTGACTTCTATAGGATGCAAGAAAAAATCAAAGATTTTAAAGGGATGCTGGAGCGACGATCGACTCGATGTCGATAAAATAGATTTTTAATTCCAAATAAAATATTACTTACATCATGGAAATGTTACATATAATAATTAAGACATTACGTACATTAAGTAAATCATTAAGTAAAACGTTACATATATTTCTTGCTCTGCTATGTCTTATATATCACATAAATGCGAGATTATGCACACTCAAATTGTACTTCTCAAGCCATTTCTCTTGTAAGCTTCAAAATCATAATTTGAAGGTCTCATAATATTCTTGTAAATTATTCAAGTATGAGAAAGTACTTTCTATTTGGATATATTCTTGCATTCATATATATATGTGTTTTATATGTGAAGGAAGAACTTATATTGTAACAAAAAACTGTAATTTATAATTTTTTAGGGATTTTCATACCGGTTTGTACTTTTTCAAAAGTATTTGCGATTTTTTCTTTTTCTGGAAAAGAATTTTTTATTCCATATTAGGAAAACGAAATAATTTGAGAAATACGAATTGACGTCGGTGACTTCAGCATCCCCTTAAGAAACTTCTTTTTAAATCATAAAAATTACATATTTTGTATTTCTAATTTTTTTATAGTGATAGATGTTTAAAACTTTTTTTGGTATAGTACATTTATCTTTAATAAATGATACTTGATAAATTAAGTTCTCGATAATATATATATATATATATATATATACAGTTAGACGGCGAGCATAACTCACCACTCTTACATAACGCACCACACATAATGCATAAGAAAATGAACTAATCCAAATCTTTTATATATATATATATATATATATATATATATGTTTATATATATTATTAATTATCTACTTATTACGAATCTAAAAATATTTTCTTTTATTTATTCCACGATATTTTTAATCTATCTTATTTTTCAACGTTATCATTATTTCCTCGTTATCGCCAAAGATTATTATTTTATTTTCATTTCATATCAACAACTTACACTCTTTACAGTTATTATAAGATTTACAGTTATTATCAGAGTTACAGCTAATTCTTATCATTATACATTGCTCGTCTTATCATTATACATTATACACCCCATCCGCATTGTTATAGCAGAATTAATATGCTTGTTGACCGAAAGGGACAAGATTATGAAAAAATATTATCTATGTCTAAAATATCGCGCGACAATCTTATCTCGCTCGTGTCAGTTCTCACGAAGCGTGGATGCGTAACAACCGATTATCATATTGCTGAAGAAATGTGTCGCCAGTTTGATTTATATTCGTTCTTTTTTTTGTGAATACAGGGAGAACGCTGACGCCACATCTTTCTCTCGCTATTTTGAGAATCGCATATCACTTTATGCATTTCTTTGTAGTTTTACCAACAATCGTATCATATATTGTCAATAGTAAATATTGCTAATACGCTGAAAACTTATTAATTTGTTAAATCTTGAAAGCCAACGATTTAAAAACATCTCGTTCTATTAAGAATGATTTCATTTCATTTAAAAAATTTATCAACTATTGTTATCTTAAATAATTAAAATATCATAAATTAAATAAGCATTATTGTTTAACTCATATCATGAAATTAAATTTACTGTGGACTTTGGTGATGAAAACGGCATAAATTTCCTAGATATTAAATTAATGAGACAAGAAGGAAATATCATCTTCGATATTTATAAAAAACCTACCAATTCTGGGAGATATTTAAACTATTTTTCGAATCATCCATTAGCACATAAAAGAGGAGTAATTATTGAGCAATTTGATAGAATTCTCATTTTTATCTCATCCTAAATTTCATAAAAAAAACATCTCTGAATTGATTCACACGTTTCTAAATAATGGTTATCCTTTAAAGTTCATATTTTCAACAATAAAAAATAGAATTAAAACATTGAAAAATAGAACTAATTTAGATTAAAATCGCGAAGAATTTAATAATGAATGAGTGACTCTAACGTTACTTCAACAAAATTTTTCACGATAGCATACTTGGGCAAAGTTTCTGAAAAATTCAAAAAACTTTCACATGTTTATGATTTTAATATAGCTTATAAACCTATGAATAAAATGAATACATTTATTAAGACAGGAAAGGATTCTTTGCCTAAGGATGACCAATGCGGAGTAGTTTATAAAATTAATTGTTTAAACTGTGAATCGTCTTATGTTGACCAAACTAAAAGGAAATTAAAAACTCGGATTAAAGAACATAAGGCCGACATAAAAAAACCTTCTTTCGAAATTTCGGTGGTTTCACGTCACCGTTTGAATGAGATGCATGAATTAGATTGGGATAATATAAGAATTTTAGATATAGAACAATCGTTAATGAAAAGAAGAATTTCGGAAATGATACATATAAAAAGACAAACAAGTGGTATCAATAAGCAACGTGATACGGAAGGTTTGCCTGATGTTTATTTTCCTCTTCTAAAGAAGGATCTCTCTTTCCTTTAATAAATAACTCTAGATTATTAATAAATAACTTTCTAAACTGTTGACTCAGATATATAAATAGTGGTAAAATACATGATAGGATAAATAACAACATAATGTCACGACAAAATTCTAATTGTGCAAAAGAAGTACTTGAGATTCATCGTTTAGTTTTTTTGCTGTAAAACAGGTAATAATTCTATTTCTTTATATTACGACTAGAAGATATTAATATATACAATTTTATTTAAATTAGAATCTGGAAATTCTTATTCTACACTTTTCTTGATATGACAACTGGCGTTGTAACATTATTGTATGAAGCATCTTCACATAGAAAAGAACATGTTTATTTAATTACAACTCCCGACTGTTGAATTTAATGTCAACTAGATGTAACTCTGCGTTTTTAAGAATATTATTGAATTAAGATGGCCAGATTGTGGCAAAACATTAAACGTTTCGGCCACAATCTGGCCATCTTAATGCTGTGGTTTTTTATGCTCTTATTTTTTATATGTTATAATTTATAATTATAAATATTGTAATTATAAATTTTGTTTCTATATAAGGATTTTTATTCTCAGTTAATAAAAGACATTTTAAATATTCCTATACTTTCAATTTTTCTACACAAAAATTTTCAATTTCTAAATTAAACAATTTCTCATATAGATGTAGCTGTTAGTTGATATAAACTATCAGTTTCATAAAAATTGGTTCGCATTAGGCAAAGTAATTCCTTTCCTTACGAATACGTACATACACATATGCGTAATTTACGTTTTACTTAACATAAAAAATATAATCGTGCTGCATAATCGCGTCCTTTATTGCCCACATTAATTGTTAATAAAAGGGAGAGGAACTCTTGTTATACCGCGACACATAATGTGAATAATGTAGTTTGCAACTCGTAACGATAATGGGGCGTTAAGACTCCATTATCACGCAACGTAAAACCCTATTAACTTAGGTCTATGCTTTCTGCCATATACGAAGCGTGACGCGAGAAATATTGTTTGCATATGCGAAATGGAGATGCTTTTTTTTATGTTCAGTAGTCTGAAAATGACTGAAAAGAACGACACTCGCTTTCATTAACCATTTTCCTCCACTATAGCTAACCTAACACTATATATATCCTTTTATTATTAAAAAATCATCGAACATCATGAAAGACTCTACATGCGGTCAATAATACTGTCAGTATTAACAAATATACTGACAATATTACTGATCGTATGTGCTTAATATTGATGGATTAATGTAGAATGACGGTAATCTGAACTTTGATTCTCGAGCTTCAATATCATTTTATTAGGATTCATATCACAATATGTCACAGTGCAATAGATAATGTATATAAAACTAAAGTGAAATATATTGTTAATAATACTGATCGTGCATCAAAACAACTCTTTTTTAAGAACAACAAAAAGAAGTAGGACGACCTCCGAAGAGATGGTTCGATGACGACAGAAGAATATAGACAGGTCAACTTGATTCCAAAAGATTCAGAATAGGGATTCGTAGAGAAGATTGGGAGAGGCCTACTATGTCCAGGAGTAGATATTACAGGCTGAAGAAGATTAGGAATAGGAATAGAAACCTATGTAAAAAAGGATGCTGTCCGTTTTTAGATCCATGCGTTCTCTCTCGCTTATGTGAAGGGGAATATGGCTGTAGTCTACTTGATGCTACAAATGCTTTGAAACATTTTTTAATTGATCAATTAGTAAAATTCTTTTTCCCGATTGATCAATCAAACACTTTGAAGCATTTGTAATGCCAACTGGATGAGTGGACCGCACCCTAAGTGGTGGCAATCACTTCGCGCGAGTGACAGAGAATGCGCAGATCTAAAAACGGAAAACATTCGTTTCTACGTGAAGTCGAGTGACATTTAATTACATATCGTTGCAATTAATAACGTAGGATAATAGATTAAATATTAGATTTGTTTGCATTATTTGAAATTCCTCAAAATTTTTGCATTTAAAACGAGATAAATGTAAAAAATTTAGAAGAAATGGACACAACAGAGAAGCTATTAGTGTCAAGGTTGTGTGGCTCGGTGACAGGACGAAAATCTACTAATATGGAGATCAGACCTCGATTCGAACGCCCTGATATTTTTCTCTTGTTGTTGCTTTATTTCTTACAATATATACAAACGTTAAAAAAAGAGAAAATGAAGATGCCTTCATTTTTATCCAAATGTAAAAAAAAAATTATGTTTTTTAATATAACATCTTTGTCGTCGTCAGTACCAGTGAAGCGTATTTTTAATTTTGTGCAACAAATTTATGTATCTCGACGTAATCGTTTGTCTGATAATATTTTCAAAAAACTGTTCTTACACAATAAAGATTTATGAATAAAAAAGTGTGAATATAATAGATTCACCCGATTGTCTTTTTTTTTTATCTCCCGGCTTATTTGATCTCGTTATTAAGTGTAGTGACGACAGCATTATATACGATATTTTCGAGCATGCACTATTATCACAAGAATTCGATAATGAGGTCGGATAATTCAAAAGATAAAAAAAACATGTTTGACAATCCAATTCTACTGTATAGTTTTATAATTTTTGTATAATGTTATATAATTTTTTATTGCAATCTCTTCTGAAAACTGTAAGTTATCTTAAAAATAAAAATAAAAATGAAATTATCTGGAAATTTTTAGATTAATTTTTAGATAATTTAATCTAGATTATCTAGATTAATTAAAATAAAATAATATATCTTTATCTTATTTTTAAAAAATTTCCAATTTTTCATCTTATCTTTATTTAGCTAATTTTAAAATCATCTATGCTTAATACTTACAGACATTACTGCCTACTCTGTCAGTTTTTGACTCCATTTTGTCAGACACTTATTTTTGCTCACGAAAAAAGTTAATTATTGCAAAATTACAAACAGTATCTATTATAAAAGCCGCTGTAATATTTGATAGAAGACACTTTCTAGTTTGTACTTGTATTTCTAAAGTTTTATTTTTAGTTTTTATTTAAGAAATTAAATTAAATTGTTTAAAAACAAAATGGTATATTGATATATCAATAACTTTCCTCTATTGTATTATATAAAATATTCATAAAACATAAAACATCATATAGGTATACAACATTGGTATCATATAGGTATAAAACATCATATAAGTATACAATTAAAAAAAACCTATTTAAAAAAAAATTTGTAGATTTCAATATATTTATTATTTTATAAAATGTATATGACAATTTTGTACATAACAATTTGGAGTCTTACGTTTCTTTAGGACTGTCAAATTTTGGACTGTTAAGTTAAAAATGAAATTGTATCAATCATAAACTCATTCTATTGATACAAAATTGTGATTTTTGCGAATTAATAAGCATAAAAATATCGTTTTTCTTTGCAGAAATTGTTAACTAAGGACGGAGGACAACAAAAGAACAAGATAATGCCATGCTGCTCGCCGACGCAGCTTGCCCCACTCCAGCTACTCTACATTAACACGAACAACACGCTCACACAGAAAACATTGCCGAACATGGTAGTAGAAGCTTGTGGTTGCATGTGATACCGCTGCTCCGAAGGCAGAGGGTGAGTAGAATCACAACCGTTGATGACGCCAAGAAGACGAGAACCAACATCTCATCTCGTTCGAGACTTTTTGCTCGTGATTAATTGTTGTGAAACTGAACTTGGTTGAATGCTCACAAAATCCATTCATCTTGATATGAACATGAAGAAATCGAAGCAACGATCGCCGCTTCGAGATAGTAGGTGATTAAAAATAAGACACGCTATTGTCACATCACGCGAGTTCACTTTCTATCGCGTTGCATTATAAATAATTAATCCTTTAATGTGCGCGCGCGCGCGCGCGCGTGTGTATGTGTGTGAGTAGTGGTGATGGTGATTTTTAGAACGTTTCTAGGAAAGTAAGATCGAATTCAATCCGGTGCTCTGTTTTGATCAATTTTTATCTAATTAGTGTATAAAATGACTAAAATAATTAAATGATATAAAACTTGTTTTTTTTATTTATAAATGAAAAAAATACAATATAGTTTAGTATCCGACTTAAATAATTACAGTAAAACAAAAAAAAAGCTTAAGCTAACAAAGTCGTTGGGTGACATCTAAAGATGCCTTTAGACGATATGGCCAATGTATACATCAATTTTGCACACATTCGCAAATATTGACCTACATTCAATATGGATGTCATGTATATATATGATATTTGCTAATGTGGCGAACGTTAGCCATATCGTCTGGAGACGCCTTAATCCCAATCCTACCATTATAGAGTTAATGAAATCATCAATTCGTAGAACATCTACAAATAATTAATGCCTTTTTATATTATTCGCCAGTTTTGTCTGCATTTTATCGATATTATATGAATCATAATTTTCCATCTTGCTACATTTTAGCGAAAACTCCAAGCTTATGTTCATTCAGCAGATGGAGCTATTAATAAGATTTAGCAAATGGACCATTTTACTCCGCGGTCCGTCTTACTCCCGGAGTATCTCCCGGGAATAAGATGGATCTTGTCTTATATTTGTTTGTAAAGGATTTCGATGATTATACTGTTTATGAACAGTTTTATTAATGTTATACTGTTTGGAAGCATATTGCAAACATCTGACAAACACATCTGCTGACTAAACATTTTATGCTTAGAAAATTATAATGGAAACATCAACAAGTAAAAGGCGTCACAACTGCTCGAAACCGATTCAATTTTTCTTGAAATATGTTGTTAAACACAAAATCTAAGACACGTATTTTTTTTTATATCGGCCTAATTTGAGATTTAAAAGGTAAAACTAGGGATGTTTCGATTTCTACAAAGGATCAATCTTCCCAAACAACGATAGCGATTTTAAATCAATCTATTTTGAAAAATTGATTTTTCCAACTAAATGAGACTGTTTTAAACCGATCTTTTTAAAGAATTCACTTCTTTTTTAAAAGAGCTATTTCAAAGTAATCTTTTGCAAAAATCAACTTTTAGCAAATTGATTGAGAAATCGCACATCCCTCAGAGGTAAAACAGCCTCTCAAAACTTAATGGAAATGGGAATATTTTTTAAACATTAGATTTTTGAAAAATCTATACAGTTATTAAGTAGATAAAAATTATAAAAGTTCTGTTAAAACATTTTTCTATATATTTCACCATTTTGTTGATAATTGATTTGAATCAAATACAAAGCTTTAAAAGGTTGTTTCATCCTAAATCTTAAATTGGACCGGTATAAAAAATACCGGCATAAAAGTATATCTTAGTATATCTTATCCATTTTTATGTTTAACAACATATTTCAAGAAAAATTGAATCGATTTCCGACAATTGTGACAGGTCATCTTTGTATGTAACAGAAGCATTAATTACGGTCAATGTAGAGGCTGGAAAATATATAATACATTTATATGCATTAAGTAAATTTATTTCAAATATATGACTGCGTGCCGATTACTTTCAAACTTGCAACACAATCAAACCGAAAAATAATAATCCCCCAAAATGAATTAGATCGTCAATTTGGTGCTACTAGCATCTTAAATATAATGGAAATATTTAAAATTGCGTCATTAATCACGTTCAGCAAGATATTTCAAAAAAAATATTCTGCACGTGCAGCCGCCAAGTTCAAGACGACTACGCATTATTGGGAATGAAATACCTTATATTTTTATACCATGGGCGCAGCATTATTAGATTTTTTACACATATTCTAGTGAAACGATTTCTTGTAAGAAAGCTCCTAACATTAGATTTCATGACAAAAGTAAATGGAATGTATTTATGTTTTAACAGTACAATTTTTGATTTTGTGTCTAAATTAATTCAGAAACGTAATATTCCTGGAACGCTGGCGAAAATAGTATGTTTATAGAAAATTTATAAAAGCTTTGCTCAAATATTGAGTGAAATATTTCATTTGAGCTTTAAAACATATTTAAATTGTTGTATGAGGTGAAAATTTTAACATGGAATTGTTCACAGGAGATGTTTATGACTATATTTGATAGACATTCGGAAAGTGTGTTGTGTTTTTCGGAATATTAACAAACCTTTAAGGGTTAATTGGATTAAAATTGGAAACAATTCAATAAATGTTTTAAAGTTCAAATGAAATATTTAAGCCCCCTCCTTATAAATTCTCAATAAACATACTATTTTCCCCAAGGCACGCGCAGTAAATGTAATTTTCACAATTGTGAAAATTTTCATAGTGCGAATTATGTTGATAAAAAGGCGATATCAATAATATCATTCATTTCAATAAAATGCACCGCTTGCCTCGAACGATTCAAGTCACAAAAATTATTTATACCTATTGTCTTTTTGTATATCAATCGTGAAAAACGAATATATAGTCGATAAATTATATATTCTTTCGATAATACGACAAAATACGAGCTTGCGTGATGCAACAATGGTGTGTTCCTGAAACCTGGAATCTTTAAGTTGATTGTCCAAGCCACGAGATCGACTCGAGCTAACGCTTGCGGTGCCAGGGGAAATTAAGGTGAGCCGAAGCGTGGTGAGAGCTCGTTACGTATTTTAGCGTAAATACTGACACTCCCGCATTTGCCCGCCTAGGGCTACTTGCTTCGTCTAGGTAGCCGATAGCGAGAGACCTTTCGGGCAATTTCGACAATGAACTTTACCGCGCGTACTCACGTTGCGCTAACTATGTAAGGGTGCCTCTACATAATTCGCAAATCGCAAAACGTAGTTCGTAAATGCTGATGCAGAATGATCACGGCAAGATATACTCGTACGCAGATGAAAAACCAATTGCACGCAATGAAAAAATAAACGCAACTCTTCATTCTGCGTCTGCGTTTGCGAACTACATTTTGCGATTTGCAAATTATGTAGAAGCACCTTCCAAAGTCGTTTTTAATGCGAATCGTTGAAGATACTCTGGCCTCATGTAAAAATCCTTAGATTATAGATTATTCTGACTGATTATCTTTCAGTGATGCGATATGATTTATATAATATGTTAATCTGTAGTGAAAGTTGTATTATATTTTTTAATTTATAATAATTCTTTAACAAAACACATGGAAAAAGAGAAATGTTTTTTTGCAAGAAAATATTCTCAAACTCGGCCTCTCACCTGAGACAGATAACATTTTACTTTCAGTTTTAAATTATCATCACATTTCGAGAAATCTGTAAATAATACATACTATATCACTAAGATAACATTTATGAACGGATTATATCAATCAAGTTAATTGCTTTTAATCTGTTCAATTATTTGACATCTCAAACATCCATAAAAGATGTGTTTAGCTATAATAAGAAAATTTGTCATTGAACTTTGCACATCGTAATTTTTATGTCTCTGAAAAATGAATAATAAAATTATAATAAAAGTATGTAATAAATACTTCTTGAGGATATAATGTCAATCGAGATAGAGCCGACAATACAACAAACTCGTTAGAAGCCGTACAGTATTTTCTCACTATATAATGCACAATCCGAAACTATTGTATCGCGATCTAGGTTTCCATTTAGTTTAAGAAAGTGTGATAAGCATCGATAAGTTTGTAAATTTTATTTATTGTTAAAATAGGATTAAATGTCGTCACTTTTTTGTTGACGGTTAGCTCACGGGCATAACTAAAGCAAACAATATATAATGCAATAATGATTAGTTTAGAAGTAATTACGTGCGATTATATGTATAGTATATTATTAAAGAGCATGTTAATCTCCGACAGTAATTGATATGTCAAAATAAACAGCGGACTGTCGAAAATTCTCGGAATAATAAACGCAGCCTGATATTATTGACGTATTTTCTTTGTATGAAAATTGTATCTCACATTTAGCGCGAAATAAGTGAAAAATTAATTGATTTTCTCTGCATTCAAAATGCTGTTAAGATATGTGAAACATATCTTGATGAATTCTTTTTACGGTATTTCAATTATCATAAACTTCAAGCTGCCTTAATCAATCTTAATTCGGAATAATACAATAAAACAGATATAACTTTTAAAACTTTTATTTCTTTTAAGCTGACGTGATAAAATTTTTCATTACAGAGATATATAGTTTTTCAAATAAATTAATTCTGCTATATATATTTAGTCAAGTACATTCACGCATAATTTTAATAACATAAAATTTGTTAATATATGTATATCGTACATTATTTTTATTACATATGGTGAACGCAAAAAGTATTCGTACAGGAGAAACTTTTAAAAGTTTTATTTGTTGAAAATAAACATTAATTAACAATTTATTAATAATGAGTTACGTTCTTAATATAAACAAAAAAAAACTTCGTAAAAATGACACTGTTCATGATTTTAGAAACTAAATTTCTTGACTGTACGAATGTCTTTTGTGTCTAAATAATATATTCTTTATTTTCGCTTATTTTATTAAGATAATATAATATATTTTAATTGTTACTTTTTAGATAAAATAATTTTGAGAAATGTATAATTTATTATGGTCTTTGTTATAATAAACTACTAATTAATTACTTTCTAAAAACAAGGTTCTTTTAGAAAGATATCTCCTCTGTACAAATGTTTTTATATGTACGTATCAATTAAAGTTCACGGCCATGTTCCGATATACTATCAGTACTGAAAATTTATACAATAGTAAATATAACGTAAATATAACGTAAATATACACTATAGATTTTTAGTAGTGGCAGTGTATATTGGAATATGGCCGAAGTATTAATAACATGGTATAGTTTCCATTAGGCACAGTATAGATCTAAAATTTCAATATTAGGTGTTATAGAGATATTTGTATCAAATCGCGCTGGGGGCATTAAAATTCATCATTGCATCGAAATAAGTCACATTTTTCGGCCACGCCCGAAAACGAAAGAATTTATGAGGCGGACGGGAGCAAAAACTATATAGACGTACTTCCGTACAGCTTCGAGAGTGAATTAGCGCGTTTCTTTCTCAAAAAATACATTTCACGTTTCTCTCCCCACTCCTTCGCGTAACGCTCGATAAACCTTTCTCGAGTAAATCCATCTCGTCGGTTTCTCTCTCGGCGCCATGTAAATATATCATTCGTGTTTTGCTGTACGGTGCCACGTCTCTGCAAATGAATTTCCTGGAGCGTTTCCTTCCTCCGTCCGGGAGACAGACACAGAAACGTCGAGCGGTAGCTGCGAGGAGGAGGAAGAACAGGAGAAAGAGGAAACGTAAAGAGCGGAAGGGAGGTAAAAGGGGATGAAGAGAAGATAGTGAAGTGGAGGACTCTGTGCAAGAGTGAAGAGCTGGGAAAGAGGAAGTGGAAAAGAAAACAACTAGGCAGAGCGAGAGACAATGGATAGCACCGTACCGCAGGATCGAAACCGAGTATGTCCGTTAGCGACATTAAATGCAACAGGGAAATAATAGTTACCGCGATTCTACGTAAAGCAAGTGTATATCTTTGGTGACAGCGACGAAATAGTGTAATCTCTACTTATATGAATTTGCCTACTCTTCATTGCATCTCTGTATTGAATTTTCATTCTCCGTTTAAAAAAATGTTTAATCTTTATCCTAATGAAATGAACATCCAAACATCAATAATATTAATAATATTGTAGAATATTTTCTCTTTCATTACGGTCGAAAAAAATCATGAAGTAATTCTATTAAAAAACATGTTTTAGAAAGACTTTAATATTTTAATATTAATTAGGATAAATACTGTTGCTAAATATAAACATTGAATGTCCTATTCATTTGTTATAATTACTGTATACACCAAAATAATCTACTAGTTTCTATGGAATTATGAAATAAAAACGCAAAATGGCTGAATATTGTGCAACACGATGCAGAAGATGAACTAATATTTACACTGAGCACAAAATACGATATGCGTGTTTTTAAATCTTTAATAACGTCGAATTTCTACCATGTTTTTTTTTTAATAAACTTTAGACTCATTCTTTTTGCTAAGTGTGCGATAAAGTTGTAAATAGAAATAAAAGAGTACAATCGATAATATAATTTAAGTTTATAACATAAGAATGCGATATTTGGTAAAATAATATATATAGATAAAAACTTCTTTTCTTTATTCTTTGTTTGCATTGTTCGTATACATGTTTATTTAAGGAAACAAGGAAAGTGAGAAATCTACAGTTCTACTTTATGCGTAGAGATAAGAAGAATTGAGTACTTAATTATTTAGTACATGTCTTAATAACTCATATCAAGCGAACATATTTCAAATATACACAATAATGGTAGAAAACTATACTTTCTCTTATTGTAATACAAAATATGTTAGTTAATTAATTTACATAGAAAAAAAGAGTACGTCATACAAAGAAATGTTTTTTTTGTTCAACTAATAAATAAAATTTATATTTTGCGAAATTTTACGTCTTATTTTTGTTTAAAAATATATAATGTAATATAATGTTTCTTAGATAAACTTCGTTCTATTTAAATATTATCATTAAAAATTATCATATTAACATTTGATTATTACTTTAAAAATATACACAAAATACACATTTTAATAAATTACGATCTAAAAACTTTATTACAGACTGATGAAAACTTGTAAATTAGTAAGGCACGCAAGATTCGGAGTAATGAGACGCTTGACAAGTCAGACATTTTATTTTCCTTTTCTACCCGTGCCTCGAATAACAAAGTTTATTCCTGGAAAATCTTCAAATTTTAATATTCCCATCGTCATGAGTATTCCGCATCTTGTTAACGCGTAACAAGGACGGAAATCATTGTTTCATTCTATTGTACCAAAGGGACCCGATCGATATTTGGTCAAGACGAATCTAGCGTTCCGCCAGGTTTTGTTACGGCATTACAATATTTATCTGCTCGTCGTTGGCAGTCGCAGCCGGTTAACGCGCGTTTCCCGCACGGTAACGAGTTTAACGTTACGTGACATCGTCTCGCCGCGAATTAATTGCGTCTGCGCGAGGCGAGTGCAGTGGCAATTTCGATCGCTGCTATTGCTGTTGCTCGCTGCTACTACACTTCGCCGGCTGTCAATCAATCGCGCAGAATTGCGGTCGGTGGACGTATTTACATATACATGTGCATGCGTACACACATGTGTGCATGTGCACACGCACACGTTCATATTATTTTGCTTCAAAGTCCGACGATTACTTTAATTAAGCAGAGATTATGGCGGAAAAATGAAAATAATGCACCGCCGATAAAACGCTGGTATGTGGCTGTATCGCCATGTAACATCGTATGACCTCTTCGCTCAGCAGCTGCATCTTGTGAAGTCGAATGTCGACTTCAATTCAAATTTACTCGAATAATAATGCTGGAGGAAGATATTCGAGTAAAAAATAAAAGTATGAACTGTAGAAATAATATTCCAAATTAAAGAAAGTTTAAAATTCAAGTTAAATTTTATAATATTAATTATGATATGTGCGTGCGTGCGTGCGTGCGTGTGTGTGTGTGTGTGTGTGTGTGTGTGTGTGTATGATGTGTGTGTGTGTGAGTGTGTGTCACACAAAAGTATTTGTATGAATTTTTCAAAATTTTTTTTATGATAGTTAAAAATTGTTTTAAGTTGAAAATAATTATTTTTATTAATAAAAAGAATTATTTTTAACTTTAAAAAATAATTAAGAAGATACTCTGGTATAAATCCATGGCAACGCCACTATACTACTATAATGTCATTTCTACATCACGTGCCAACGTCATTATGATGTAAAATGAATGACGTCAATAAAATTTGACATAATTACATCATAGCGATGTCTAAATGTCGAAGATAAGTTATTAATGACCGAATTTATGGGCCGAAATTAAAAGTCATCTTGTTAGCTGGATGGCCACAATACTTTGCCACGCCATTTAAAAAAATCTGACATGGCCCACGAAAAATTCAGTCTCGCTCTTTGATATGGACCTGATATAGAAATGACTCAGCACTCACAGTAAAATTTATTAAAAAATCAGATGTGGACGACAGATCCAGCTCGCGCCTATTGAAAATGGGCGCGTTCAAGTCGACAAAGCAGCTAGCCTGCTCGCCAAACAAATAAACACGATTGATTGTTCCTTATTGATCCAACCAATCACATTCAATTGCTCAGCGAACAGTCTAGCATTTTGTCCAGCTTGAACGCGCCCTGTCTGTGTTGTGACCGCAGCTCTTGTCCCATCTTGTCCTTAGGTCTGTTTTTTGTAGCTGACTAGTGTACACTTTTAGAACTTAAAGTGAGATAGGTATACGTTTGATATATGTTGAAAGTGAGAAAAAGAGTGCTAGTGCAGTCTAGTGCAGGAACAGAAAACAGACTACTTGTCGCATCGCAGTGTTGAGTATTTCGTGGCTGTGACAGATTTCCTAACCTAAATAGTAGTGAATTTTAATGATTAACATCTCAGACACGGGACAGAGTAAAGCTTTTTTCTGTCAGATTCCTTCGTTTTATGCAAAAATGCGCTAAGTAAGCCTAATTTCGTTGACTTTTGAGCTGGGGCTTATCTAAATAATTACCAAATTTTTTTATTTTTAAGACGAAACGTGACGATAATCTCTATTAGTTAACTTTCTCGTCAAGGAACAATATAAGCATGATTTTCGGGATGATCTTGCGATCGATTGTATAACGTAACAACGCAAACATAACCTCAATATGCTGTCCGAGGTGGACGTGTTTATTAGCAATTACACGTTGGTCGATCCCGAGATCTATCAGCTGTGGGTCGACGGACATACTTGTGAGTGGAGGGAATAACAGCCTCCATTGATTTTACCTGCACGAGAAATTATTTGAATCTATAAGTCTAATGGATGCTTTTTTCTAGCTAGTGACGCAGTTAACATTCTACATCAACGAGGAATCTGTCAGCAGACCAATGCGCCGATCGAACTGGTTGCATCTGATATCCTCGATCACTATCGCACCTATGCTTTACTCGAGAAACTGCTTCACACTCCTACGAAACTCGCCAGTGAACAGTTAGCCTTTCAAATCGAACCACAGACCAGTCAAATGCTCATAGAAATGTAAGAATATGCGACTTTCTAATCAAATTATCGGATTATAACTCAGACTAAAGATAGTAAAAGAAAGTAGGGCTAATGGAAATCGACGCTGTAAGCAGTTCAAAATATTTAATTTTAAATCATTAACATGATGTTTCTAATGTTTAACATTAAATCGTTAAAAAATGTATGTTTCGGTTACTTTTTAGCTTTTATCAGCACAGAAATAAGAATGATCACTGTAAATTCTTATGTTAAATTGTGGGATTATTAACTCTTTGGAACTGATGCCAAAATTTATAACAATTATTGACACTGGAGATCCAAGAGATTTATTTAATTTAATAAAAAAAGCTATATTTCCTCAAATATTGGCATACAAATTATATATTCCTAATAATACTGCATTCAATTGGAATGTATTTGTTAAATAAAGTTAAAATAAAACGTTTTGATTCTTGGATTGGAATCTTCTTCAGTATAGAAATATGATACAAACTAGAATGAAACTTTACATTTTACTTAGATTTATTTTTGTAGTTACAAATATTACTATTTTATTTTATTTCCATTTAGTGCATGTTAACTAAAAGGCACTATTAATTTCAAAGAATCAAAATAACATAGTATAAAAAAGAAGAAATATTAAGTATATTAATAAAAATAGTTTAAAAATTCATAGATGTAACGTAAAGAAAGGTGAACTGTTTGACATTGTATTGTATGAAATGACAATTGTTACAAAAATCAATGTAAGAATTAAGAACTAAATAAGTTTTAATAACATATTTTTTTTAATCTTAAAACTACTTCATAAAGAAAGCTAAATTAATTTTACATATTAGAATCTTTGTTAGCCAAACAGTCATTGCATATTGGTCCAATAGATCCACCATCAACTTTATAGGAATATAATTGAGTAGGTTCAATAGATTTACGTCAGCTCCAGATTGTTAATAATTTCCTGATATTGACATAAAATAATTACTTATTTCAGGTATTACGAATTTGATGATGTCGTTATACGCGAGTTACTGGGAAAAAAGATAACATCCAAAAGTAGAAAGGATATGGACGAGGTAGCCGAAAAGACAGGAATTACGTTGAAGAGCTGTAGAAGGCAATATGACAATGTGAAAAGAGTGTTTAAAACTGTCGAAGATTTGCCAGGCTCTCTTGCAACCAATATCAAACAACATTTCTTACTTTCTGAAGATCTTGCTAAGTATATATAATATACAATATAATTTCTTTTAGGAATTATAACTTGTTTTAGTATGAATGCACAATCCAATTATAATAAACATGCGTATCATTTATAATATAACAAACTGTTTTTAATTGCACAGACGATACGCTGCAGTGGTGTTTATAGCATGCCTGCGATTTGAAATGAATAAAAGAAAATTACAATTTTTAACGTTTCCTGATCTATACCATTGTGCTAATAGTATGATGTCATCATGGACATATCGATGTGTCGGATCCGAATACTTTGATACGGACTTGGACAGGGAATTCTTACAGGAATTATCAGAATGCAGAGTTCTTCTAGAAAACGATAAACATCACAAACAGTATATTATATCATATATAAAATGACAAAATATTATGCTTTGTTATAAAAATCACAAAAATAACAGGAAAATATGGATATGTTTCAGTTTAGTATGCCTTAAGCTCAAACCAATGCTTCTCGATCGATCTTATCAAGAACTGGATACAAACTTCCGTTCGTATTCGAGAGCGATTCTCTGTATTGGATGCAACTTGCATAGATCACGAGAAGTGAGATTTTTCTTTTTGGAATTGGTGGAGAGATGTATTGAACCTTGGCGACAAGTCAATTGGACGCATTCTGATCTACGGAATTTCTTAGCTGTCTATACACAGTGCGCTCTTGACATGGATGTACTTAGGTAGGACTCGTAATAATTGATATTATGAATATAAGATGTTCAAATATTAGGAACTTTAAGAAACATTAATTATTCAATGTTTATCACAGAGAAGGCGAATTAAGAGATGCATTTGAACGTTATATGATGGTAGTGACATGTTGTCTATTACGTATGTATCATACATAATTATCAATGTAAAAAAATTAATATATATATTAATAATATACAAGATGTTCTTTCGGCTGTAGCATAGTTTTTGAAATACTTCTGATGAATTAAGAACAAAATATTTCTAATACAAATTTCTAATAAAGAATTAATTGCTTAAAAAAAATTGTTCATTTTCTAATAAAAAAAATTGAACTCAAATTATGTTTTTAAAATGGAACCATATATTTTTCTTTACGTGTAGCACATAAAAAAATAAATTCATCAATATAGCATGCTATTTTAAGCATCGACGACAAATTCATAGATTATGTCATAAGTATATTAATTGAAACGTCTTGAGATCAAATAATCAAAACGATATATAACACTATCAAATTTGTCTTTTTATGTACTACAAACTATAGAAATAAAAATATATAATTCGATTTAGAAAAATATAATTTGATTTCGATTTTTTTTATTAAAAAATGAACAATTTGAAATTTTTATGTAGTTGATTCTTTATTAGAAATCAACAAATTTTTGTTGGGAACATTTTGTGTCAATTCATCGGAAATATCTTAAAAACCGTGACGACTGACACGAGGAACATCTTGTATAGTATATATACACTTAGAAGGTATAAGTAAACCATTAATAATTAATAATTTATATATTACTAATATTTATTAATTTTCTGTAATAAATGATAGACAGATTATCTTATATGCTGCGTGTAATTGTGCAGTTAAACATACATATATGTAATAATGCACATTGCACTGTCAACATTTTACTGATATTTTTAATTGAATGTGCGCGATGTGAAATTCTACAAAGTGAAAGGCAGTTTGTATAGATATGGCAGTAGCTCGATACATCTTTTTGTAATTGGCCATATTCAGCAGAATGTTTATTTTGCAATAGTTGGAAGTTCCTTCGCTTATTGTAAGCTAGAATTATGTGTGCGTATGTACACACACACACGCGCGCGCGCGCGCGCGCACACACGCACACACACATATGTATGCCTTTAGATCAGAATATAATTCAATCTACGCGAAATGCTTACTAAACGCCGACTTTTGCTGAACATGACCGTTATATATTTAATTGAAAAGTTAACTTCAATTTATTTAAATCCAATATGAATATTAATGAAATAAATTAGAATGTTTCAGTTATTGCACATTCGTTGATGATAATAACAATTGGATGTTTCAAATAAAATAGCACTATTTATATACTAAAATTTTGACTTATTCTTACTAATTCTTTCTTATATATATATGTATATATTTACATTTATTATCGCATTGTCTAATAACATTATCGCATATATCAATGTACAGAATACACATCGCACATATTTCGTGCTAGTTTCAAGAAGCACATTTGCTTAAACCTCATTTATACATTATAATCAGTGTACATCTCCTTTACGTTCAAACATACTTTCTTGTAAGAATTGTTACACAAATAAAACTTATAAGATGGGGACGGTCCCATTAGCACACATCCATTCACATCCGCTAGCAACTTTTTACTGCTTTACCAATGAAAATATTTTATTTTAAATTGGCCAATTAATGATGTGCGCTATCGAAATCCTCCCAGATCAGATGTCCAATGATAAGATGTCCAATCTTCTCACACAATATCAACATAGTATTGGACGAGGTACACTGTGTACTGTAGAGGTGTGGCAGATGAGAATAGGAAAATTGGCGTGTCAGGATGGGAATAGGAAAATTGGCGTGTCAGGAAAATCGTAAAAATATAATTTTGCCTAATACTCGAGTACAATTGACTACTGCGTGACTCCTAACAATTTGTTAACGGCGTTCACTATGTCTTTGATCTGTGGCAAGGCCGCGATTTCTAGCGATTTCGCATATGGCATAGGCGTGTCGACTCCCGTGATGCGAATGACAGGTGCATCAAGATGATAAAAGGCTTCACCTGAAAAAAACAAAAAATTTCGTTAAGCAACACTGTCGAGAATAAATAAGTTAAAATAAAATCGATAGGAACCAATTTAAATTATATAGCTTTGAAATCGCAATTTACTTTTCTTCTATGTAATCTTTTATGTGCAATGCGTTTAAAACTTAATTCTAATTTAAATTATATGTTAATTTAGACTGTTACATGAATAACTCAAATAAGTAAAAAAAGCTTGAGAACCAATACAATCAAAGCTAGATCTCTCTCTTGTTTAATAATATTTATATATAAATTTTAAATACATCTCTCAGTTATATAAACTGTGTGACGCTTATTGCCAGACTTGAAATGCAAAAACTGAAGCTAAAATAACAAATTAAATTATACAGTGTTTGATAAAGACCGTAACAATGTTTGAGGTAGATTCCTGAGATCATTTTGAGACAAAAATTCTAATACCAAAATGTCGAGGCTTTAATTGTTTTTGAATTATAGCACAAGTTATCGAATCATACCGCCTAAAGTTTGCGCGTTTAGATGTGATACAAGGAAAAATCCAACTGCACCTAAGTTATATTGTTAATTCCTTGATCTAAATTGAATTTGGATTTCGACTTTGGTGTTTTATTATTTTTTAATTTCTAAGTTATATGCGATTCTAATTTTTGTATCGCTTTTAATTATTAGTTTGTAACATTGATAATGACTTCGTGCAAAAGTTGAAACATTTGTTTAAGCACATGAAATTAATTTTATTAAAATAACTTAATTGGCTCTTAGCTCCTTTATTTGATTTGTAATCATCTGAGTCGTTTTCTGATCTTGTACAAATTAAACTGATCATCAATTCAATAATTATACTAATAAGTATCTTAAAACACTAAAAAGAACTTATTACGAAAAATATCTAAACCAGGATAATATTTTATCTTAATTTAAACTGTCCAAAGTTGATTTAAAATATAAATTCAACACAAGTGTAAAATACGAAATAGATTATAAATTATAGATTATAGATTAAACGAAACATACTCTCGGCGATTCTTGCACTGACTTCCGCTCCAATGCCGCACTGTGGCCAACCCTGTTCAACTGTCAACAGATGTTTCGTCTTCACCACAGACTGTATGATGGTGTCTATATCCAACGGTCTGAGAGAACGTAGATTAATTACTTCGGCCTCGATTCCTTTTCCAGCAAGTTCATTGGCCGCTTCCAGAGCCTCCTCGACAGCTTTGGAGTGTGCTACCAATGTTACATGATTGCCCGCTCGTTCTATTTTGGCCTTGCCGATGGGTAAAACAAAGTCCTTGGATAAAGCTTCATCAGACATAGGATACTGTACACCATACAATATTTCATTCTCGAGCACCACCACTGGATCAGGATCTCGAATGGCTGCTTTAAGCAAACCCTTGGCATCTTCGCTGTTATAGGGTGATACTACTTTTAAACCGGGACAATGACTATACCAGGCACCAAAACACTGCGAATGTTGAGCTCCTACGCCTGCGGCAGCACCGTTGGGACCGCGGAATACGATTGGCACATTGACTCTACCTGCAGACATGTAGAACGTCTTGGCAGCAGAGTTGATGATGTGATCGATTGCTTGCATCGAAAAATTAAACGTCATGAATTCACAGACTGGTCGCAGGCCGGCCTAGAAAATGAAATATACATACAAATAGAGGAATATACTAATAAAAGTGCAATAAATAAAATAAAGATTAGCTTGTTACAATAACAAATAAAGCTTAATAAAAATTATTCCACACATACCATAGCTGCTCCAACTGCGATGCCTGTGAAACCAGCCTCTGTGATCGGCGTATCAATGACACGTTTGTCTCCATACTTTTTCCAGAGACCCCGGGAAACTTTATATGCGCCATCATAGAGAGCTACTTCTTCACCGAGAAGAAATACCTTTTCATCCCTTTCCATCTCCTCATCCAAGGCCGAGTTCAAAGCATCTCGCACGGTCATCTAGCAAATTCACAGGAATTTTCATGAGAGAGAGCACCAAGGTATAAGTGAATGACCTTTCATGTCCTTCAGATTTCTACTTTGAATGATCGTACGCGAGAGAAAAATCGAAACGGGAAGGGTAAAGGGAGAATAAGGAAGAATTAGTGATGAACGTGGAAACGTTCGCGGAATTCCCGTGACATCCATAGAACTGTTTCTTTGTTTTTTGTTAGTTTTAAACGGCGGAGTAAATCACCTGCTGTGCTGTTGCCCATTTCGACGTGGAGAACGAGCGGCGAACGACAGTTCTTACGGCGGTCTGAAAACAAAGAAGCATCGTAGTAATCCAGACATTCGAATCTCACACTCTTCTTTTTTCGAGCAGGTCGCAACAATGTGATCCACTCCACTTACAGCAGTCATCCCGATTCTCTGTGTTCACGATGTTCTATTAAAGAGACGAAATCAGAGCGGACAAATGGAAGAGGCTATAGGCTAAACGTGGAATAGGACATCGATTGCAACCGCTCGTTTTTCAGAATTCACGAAATCTTTTTACCATGAACATGTTAAGTCGGAAATGTTTCTCGCGGTGGGAATTTTCCTGAGAGCAATTTTTCCTCTCTTTTTCTTTCTCTTTCTGGAAGAATAATTTGGGAGACGTTCGTGAAAAATCTTCGATACTAAAACCAAACGCGGATTACGTTAAAAGAGCCAAGGATGCGCACTACTTGGAATTATTCAGACGATTATAAAACGCACGAAGTCGCTGGTTCGAAAAGGTGCCACGGCGGCGTATCGATTAGCGTTCAAAGCCGAAGCGGCAAATGCGATATTTGCAGTAATTTATAATACAAACTGAGTGAAACAGATCTATTCGCGTTGCTTGCACTTTTTGCATCCAGCATCTTTTCTTTCTCCCTTTTCAACATTCAAATACATATTTATCTCCTTTTAAGTTCAAAAATTTTGATTTCAAACAACGCGAACAGACCTATTGTTGAGACTAATTATTGGATAATTAAGCGATCGCATGATAGATGCGCAAACGTGTTTCGTCAAATCGCGTCTCGCAATTGCATCTAGTAAAGTTATTACGAGACAGAAAATTTGTAGCACGTTTTGCACTCAGCATCTTCGCTTTCAACACTTGAATTTATCTCATTTTAAATGCAAAATGTTTTTCAAGCAACACGAACAAACCTAAAGAGATTTGAATTCCTGTTTCGAGCGCAACGAGTGCGTCTCCATGATGCATCTCATTAGAAGCTGCAACAATAAGGGGCTCCGCACAATAAAAGGAACAAGGAACAGAGAACAGAAAATAAGAATTTCAGATCATGTATTATGGAATACATATTTCAGGTTGAAATTATTCTCTGTTCTCTGTTTTCTGTTCCTTTTATTGTGCGGAGCCCCTAAAAGGCGCAAGTGACACAGAGAGGAACCAGAGAGTGAATATCCCAATCTTTTTCATGTACCAAATCTCGTAAGGTAATATCTACGTTTTTGTGGGTCTCTTCCATATTATTATGTAGGTTAAACAAGGACGAATAATCGAAGTTGATTGTTTATCCTTGTCTAACTCACGTAGTATAGAAAAGAATCACAAAAATATGAATATTACTCTAAGGTTCGATACATCAAAAAAGGTCAGATGTCCACTTTCAGATTTCTCTTTAGTGTAATCATAGTGAATCATTACATCTTTGCCAATGTTAAACAAAGATGAAATTGTGTTACACTATGTTACACAGCAAACACCAAGTTACATGTAACGTACATGTTAGTTGTAATTTCCCATTCAACAATATAACTGTAATATAACACATATGTTATATACAAAGTGAAGCCGTAACTCTGTCTACTTAGAATATTTCCGATATTTTTAGAGATATAAAATAATATATTTATTGAAGTTGTATGACATCAAGAAGAGTACAATATATTACTAATAATTTTTTTATGGATGGACGCTTCGAAGATTTCAAGGTCACCTTTACTTTTTTAAATAGAATTGTATGATTTTTTTACGCAACGATTCCTCTAATTATTCTGCATATAAAAATATTAAAATATACATACCGAAAAATTAATACTTTACAAGACATTTTATATTTTATTAGCGTTGCCAAGGTCAAGTCAAGGTCACATCAATTTTTTAAAAATAGAAATCCCCATTTTCATTGCATTCTTATAGCTTATCATGAAAGTTCTTCAAAACATTATAACAAAATATTTTTTCATTAAGTACTTTTCGAGTTATGATCGGCTTGGATGTTACAATATCGCCGACGTATTTATACCCAAGGTGTCCGATCAACGGCTAAAACCTCTTGAATTAATGTTGTTCAGGATCATAATCTGATCAAAATATAAATAAATATTTGTCAAGATCAAGGCCATTGGAAATTGTTCCTCTTATTTTTATTTTTACGTAAGAATGGATTTTTAGTGTAATTTTTAATGCTTTACAAATAATATCCAGTAGCACGAACATGGGAAGACGATTGCACTTTTGCATGTTATATTATTAGGGCAATACCGTAGATCCAAATGTACGGCTAAAATCTTTGTTATTTGGTGGAAAATCGAATGTGCAGTTTTGACTTTCCACTAAATTAGTATTTATCATATCTGAATACACGGTACTGCAAAAACTCTTTATTATTCGCGTAACGTTTTTTAAGTTCGTCTACTGATAAATATAGTTAAATGTAGTTAAGATTCTTTCGAACTTATTCTCGTTAAAGAAAACAAGTCTTTTTCATCAAATATTCGTATCGTCAATCACAAATCTTATTTAAATAGTAAACTACGGTTTTAATTGTTAATTTCTTACCATAGAATATAAGTAAAAAAGTATAAAAAAACTCCATCTTCTCAATGACAAGATAGTGCCACTTACGGAATTCAGTATGACGTTATACTTATGGTTTACCTGGTTCGTATATTTTTCATGATTCATGTACACATCATCACAGTGTGTGTATATGTGTGTAAAAATATAATAAGATTACGTTCTACTTTAATGCTGATAAGCGCGATCTGTGATACGCGTCTTAAATGCTTCTATATATTACAAGTAGAAATAATGCATCCGAGAGGAATATTAACTCGACATGTGTTTAATTGTGATCTACGTTACCATCTTTTGTTAAAAAACAAAATTTTTATCTGATTCCATCGCTTAACAGCAGCACATAACGCTCCTACGGATAAGTAATAATGTAAAATTGTAAAATATAATTTTACATGTAATCTTGTGATAACAAAATACATATCATGAGATTAATATTACTATTTCGTAATTTTACGAAATTATTAATCAAGCGATCGAGTGATATTCTTTAACAAGGATCATCTCTACGAGTGGGAGTAGATTACTCATACATGTCATATCTTATCTCTTGATAGTGGTGGTAGATATTACTATGCTCTAAATAGGTGTGGTGTAGTATCTTGTTAAATGAAATCGAAGAGACAGCGTATCGTACATAAATCTCGCGAATAAGTTTTCGATTTTTATAAGTTTAAATACCGTTTTTTTCAAATACAATGATACATATTAAATGAAATACGAAGTGTCGATTCAGTGTTGAATACAATTCTACATTTCTTGTTCTTTTACAGCCACAAAATGATTGGTCGATTATATTTCTGGATTATTCTATTTGTTCTTGGTAAGAAGATTATTATTTTAATTTATGATGCACAATTAATTTTGTTATGTATTAATATTCGCAGTAAAAAGTTTCCAAAATTCTTCATATAATTTTTGTAAACTTTTTATATAAAATTTATAACTTCTCAAAATTGTTTAGATCTTTTGTAATTGAACATTTTCGAAGTAGATATATGAAATATACATTATATTAGGTGTTGGAATTAATTCGTAGCGTTTTTTAATGAAAGAATGTTATTTATTTCACATGAGCATTAAAAAATACATTAATGAAAGTACTTCCCATCACTTGTAAAACGCTACGAATTAATTCCAACACCTAATATAAGAATTATAAGAATTTTTCTCATCAAACATATTAAAAATTGTTCAAAGTTAATGCAAATTAAAAATACAAAAAAATAATTTTATACACATCTTTTTTCATCTGTAACAGTTTAAACATTTATTATTACATTAAAAATTGTTTCACTATTTTGAATTAAACAAAATCTTTTAAATTTTTGAATGCTAAAACGATGTCATAAATCAATTAGATTTAAATGCGTTTAAACTCCAAAATGACTTTCTGTAATATTTGAAACTTTTTTATAAAAAAGATTAATGTTTATCTTACTAATTCCATTTATCTAAAAATCTATATGAAACCGCAGATAGTACATGATGTCCATTGAGCGTCCAGTCATTTACAGAAAAGTTAAAATATGCTATATATAAATATAATTAAAAATATTATATATATTATTCTTATTATACATAAGATGTATAATAAGAATAATTTTATAATTTTGTAAACAATACAGCTTAATTTTCTTTATACATATTATTTCAGGCGTTTCCGCACAAGAAAATACATATCGAAGTATTACATCAACACTTCGAGAATGTTACGAAAATAAAGATCTTCTAGAAAAAGATAACAGATTGCCCCATACTTTAAATACATTAATTGCGATTCTCCGAAAAATCGAAAATATAGAAAGCCAGAACATGGATTTACGAGCTTTAACTGTTGCAATTATGCACAGGTAAATAATAAGTTCTCATAACAGCGTTAAATAAATTTCAAGGTTTGAGATTGCTAAAATGCATAATTGACATTTAAAAAAATTGTAGATTTCGTCAAGACGGAATAGTAAAGAATCCAAATGTCGTCGAGCAGTCTGGTGTATTGCCATATAAAGCAGGTATCCAAGCACAAAAATATGTACAAATAATTCATTTTATTCCCGAGACGACTAGCCGGCTTCTTGATGACAACATAATAACCGACATTGAAAGGGTAAACTTAATGAAAATTCATATTATTTAAAATATATTCCTGATGGAAATTTTTTGCTGAAATTAAAATGAATAATAACAAAATATTACTGAAACGCATATTAAAATCAATTGATCCACTTTTTTGCAATTATTTCATTAAGATCCCAGCAAACACAAATATACAATTACTATATTATTATTATATAACAGAATATAATAGATAACATAACGTAATATATTGCATCCACGTTATAATTTATCACTTATGAATCATTGTAGTTATAAAATATAAATATAACGTGTAACTAAAATATTATATAACTTATATAACAATAATATATAAATTTATTGCATATTAATATAATATTACGTTATATATAATTATTATGTTACTGTATATTAACCTGATTTGTCTTTTACACGTACTATAATCACAGAACAGGTGAAATTCTCGGAATTTTAATTCTAAGCGAAAACAAACAAAATAGTTTACTTTTGCTTAAAATTATTTCAAAGAACCTGTTTTGGGATTAATATATGCAAAATATATTCCCTGAAAATTATGTTTTTGTAGGGTAAAAATAACATTTAAGAATAAAAAAATTAATTATATGTTAATTAATTAATTAATTAAGTTACTTTTAATTGCGAAAGCCGCATATAGCAAGTGTTTGACAAAAATATATAAGTTTAAAAAGGCTGTAATATATAGTATGGTTTTAATATTACATATTTTTAGCATTGAATAATATATATTTTACATTTGCTAAATGGATTCATCAACTAAAGGATTGATCATAACCTTTATCTCAACAGTGTTTATAAAAATTTTATGATATTATCGCTGATAACTTTATAAATATTATAAAAATTAAATGTAGTGGAAAACTATTTTTTCGTAGGATTTTTTCATAGTACTTCAGCATGATTCAGTTTAATTTTTCTGAATAAATCTAAAAATATTTTTGCATTATTTTTTTTTGTTATTTTTAATTATTCTTCATTAATTTTTATTAATTATCTTTAGAATTCATAGTTCAGTATTAAAAGTATTATTTATACTACAATATATTTAACAATATTTTAGCCATTTTTATTTCTCATTTCTATGATTTCATATTGATTTCAATGATTTTAATGATTTATTTCCGGGATATCGATTATGTAATTTTTTCTCTAGAGTGGAAATATGAAAAATAAAAATTTTGTGTGTGTGTGTGTGTGTGTGTGTTTGTGTGTGTGTGTGTGTGTGTAATGCAAAAAACTTTTTTTTTACTTTTCACGTTTCCGTCCTTAGGAAAAAGTTACATTGACCGTCAGGGTATAGAAATAGGGAATAGTTTTCAAAAGTATTTTATATTTCGTATAAATTTGGATAGACTTTTACTTAACAAATACTTTATCTTCATTTTGCAGTGTACCCTTCATTTCATGTTATCTAGCAGTATTGAAATGTACGAAAGAGGAGACGAAAACAAAGTGTGTAGATTGACCGGTCCTTTCAGAAGTGTGAGAAGTGTTATCAGCAATTATTCCCTTAATACAAATTTGGATATGCACGATGATGTAGAAACCTTGACACCTGAACAAATGTAAGTAATATAATTTAAACAATTTAACTCAACTGTTTGAACAAAAAAAGTAATACATAAAAATATAATTAAACAAAAAAACCTGCACTATATTTAAAAAACATATTTCTTTTTCAATAGTTATAAAAAACGATTATAGTATGATCATTATAAATGACAATCAATTTTACAAGTATTTTCCAGGATTTGTTTTAAATTAGATTTTTTCTTAACTAAAAATTCTTAAAAGTTAGTTATTTTAACTTTTATTTCTTCCATTATAATTAATCCTATAAGCTATACACACTTTTTTTTTAATCTTCGAGATACACATTCGGATCTTCCCGTCCATATTAGTTACCGTAACTTTCGTAAAAATAGACATATTTCAATTAATTTTTTTCAATCGATGGAGAATCGATTAAGGAACAAGTCCATTATGTGTAAAAGTCGATAGAATTCAAAAGCTTCAAGACATAGATTAAAAAAAAAGAAAAGTTCAAAAATACAAAAAATCGCGATTTAGCAAATTACATTTGGATTTCTGGAACTCCAATGTGTAATAGCTAGGATTAATGACTTATAAGATTAATTGTTTATAAAAATTATATAAACCAAAAATTAATTTTGTTAAAAATTAAGTTGAATTAAATAAACTTAAATTAAATTAAAAATTAATTTTAAAAAGCATTACTTAGTTAAATTAAAATAATTATTATAAAGTTATAATTTTTATATATATATAAATCTACAGTTTATTTTAGAGTTTAGAACTCAAAGTAATTGCGACATGAACATATTGTAAAGGAGGATACAATTTTTAAGATTTTTTGCGACCATTCTGGGAATCGTTTTATTTCAACATTTTCAAATGTATTTTTCTTCATAAAAATAAAAAATTATTATAATAATGATGCTATACTTAAGGAAAAATTACATTGAAATAAAATTAATAAAATCCTTATTCACATTATTATGAAATCGTGTCAGTTATGCTTCATAATCAATGGTATCAAATATTATCAAAACCGTATAACATATTATATCAGATTGTTTTGAAATAATGAAAACTAAACTTTGTAATTTTTATACATCATGTATTTTTTTAATATGACATATATAATATTAGGTGTTGGAATTAATTCGTAGCGTTTTTTAATGAAAGAATGTTATTTATTTCACATGAGCATTAAAAAATACATTAATGAAAGTACTTCCCATCACTTGTAAAACGCTACGAATTAATTCCAACACCTAATATATATATTGAACCTATTTCTGAAAACTTTGATTGCAAATGTAGCGACGTTATTACAAGTAACAAAGACGAAATTACCAAACATGTGTTTGATGCAAACGCTATGTATTCGGAATTTCCACCGAATCACCCAAAGACTGCTCGATTGGTTGACAAACCACTAAGCAGTTGTCCTGTGGAAAATGGCGTTATAAAAACTGCGTAAGTAATAGATTTTATATTTTTATACACAATATCTGTATTTGTAGTGTAAACACACATATATTTTCATTCTTAATAATATTACTGTATACTTCCTTCTAATGCCTACTAAAAGCCGCAGCACATTTTTGCATAATGCGTAGCACATAAGAAAATTAATTAATCAAATGACTATGTGCGCATGACTGTGTTCCGTTTCACACATAAGGATGAGATTTCATTTATGTGTTTTTGTCATTCGATAAATTTTTTAAACTTGTTGATTGGCTATAGGCTATTGGAGAGATCCGAGGACTTCTCTGTCCTGCACATATTTATAGTATTACAAAAACGCACAAATGAAATCCCACAACTAACGCAAATGAAATATCATTTTATCCTTATTGTTCGCAGAGTGTTAAACAGATATAAAATGATACATCAGGCACATTACGCGTGCAACGGAACGCCTATGACTTTGATTGCATTCGTGCAAATTGCACTTCTCCCAAAATACGTGATATGATGGCCCTTCTAATTTAAAAACTCTATTGTTTATTCCACTCTTGACATCACCTGTATTGTTTATTCCACTCTCGACTCCTCGTCTTCATAACTCTCTTGAAACCATTAGTATTTGGCTTAAATTTATAATGCTTCCAGCCCGTGTTGAGAATATTTTACATGGTATGCTCAGTTGGCTAAACTACGCCCCTTTTCATGGCAAAATGTCTCTCATGGCTTATTATAAAACGAAAATGACTCTATTTTGCTATAATTTTAGATAAATAACTTTTAACGAGTAAATGAATTCAAATAAACTTTTGCACGGATGTTTATTTAAGTTTTATTAGTATGTGTACAAAATTTGATGTAATTGCATGGTAATGCTATTTCCTCATCAAATTTACTGTAAAAGCCGTTTCCTATATACCTACTCTGCGATAAACAACGATATATTGACGCAATATTTGTCTTAGACTTCGACTAGAGAGTCTAGTCACTTCCTGTTAACAGCATCTTAATGAATTATATTATCATAGCTGGGGTCCAGTTTCTGCCGGGCCGCTAATCGCTGGTATAGCTGCTGGTCTACAACCTGAAGATGTAGCACTCTCGGAAATTTTTAGCGAAGATAACGCAGAAAGAAGGGCAAATTTATCAAACTTAACATTGGATAATAAATGGATTGCAACCATAACTGGTAATAAAGCCTTTATTTTTTTATATTCATATTTTATACTGTTTCATGATGTATAAATTTTGAAGAAATCCAATTAGCACACAATAAATGTTTAAAGAACATTTTTTATATATAAATATTTATTTAATATTTTTACATTAAATAAAATTTAAAAAATATTTTTAAAATATTTTTTTAAATATTGTCTGCTGATTGGGAAATTGCATCGGAAAATTGCATCAGAAGCATTTATAAACTGATCAATCACAAACACGATTTTTCAACTGTTTTCTCAGGTTATTATCAACTATGGATCGTTTAATTCATTACAGTAGGAGATTGCAAAAAATTTATGTACTTGCAGGTGATTTAGCTGAAGTTATTTTAATGCAAGGCCCTACAAATAACAAGGATGAAAAGTTTGTAGTAGGTGTAGACGGCAATTGGAATTCATCAGCTCTGCCCCGTTGGTATTTTCTGACAAATAATAGCAAATTACAATTTACTGCGGCAGAAATCAGAGGAGATATTGATGGATTCATTCTTGCAAGGGAAATTGAAGCTTTGTTTTCAAAAATACCTAAATTGAGATTGTCGCAGATTTTAGATCTATATTATAGTTCTCGTGGATTATTTAATCCTACGATTAGAGCATGTAATCGAAAAACATTGTTCGAAAATATATCAAGCCAGATATCTGAACAGGTAATATTGCATAATATTATATTACATTATTGAACAAAAAAAAAACTTTTTTTTAGTATAAGAACTCATGTAATTAATTTCGTATAGCTTTTTGAACTGTGAATATAATTCTATTTATTAAAATATTCTATTACATTACAATTAGTTAGAGCGTGTATTTTGAAATGGTTAAAGTTGTAAAAAGCTAGTATATAAAGCTTTTTAGTATATTTTTACATATTATAACTATGATGTAAAAAGATATTTATATTGCATTAATATTGCATCGAAATTGCAACTTAGAGTGCTGTCCCATGACAGTTGGAATTTCGGAAAAATAATATAGTGGGAATTAACCAATCAGAATTGGGATGCATTATTGTTCGTCTGCACATATACGTTAAATACAAGATTATCGAAATTGAATTTCTATATATATAAAAAGAAATTCATTATTAATAAATAATTGTTCTCAAGTATTTATTAATATATGTATAAGTATTTTTCCAGCATATAATCATTTATATCGTTGGGGATAAAATTGCGTGCTTGTCAGTCCGAAATTTTTGTGGCTACTAAAATAATTTGGTATTCTCTCTTTAATATATAAAGTATAATTTTTTTTATAAAATAAATTAGCATTTATTTTTCATTTTTATTGATATGCATAATATAATTTATATTTTATATTCTTTATATATATATTTTACATATGTATTTTGATTTATTACTAAATATTAGATAATAATACATCGCAATATTAATTTTAATCATATCTCTTTGTTTTCATTATGTGACGAGCATTATATACCTTAATGGCATATGTAAAGTCACAATTTTGATATAATAGATCTTATATTAATTATAAATATTGTACTTTTGTATTATAAAATCAACACCATAAATTACTTTTAACTGAAAGTAACAAATACTTAATTTTTGTCACAACAAAATTTCTCTAATGCGTCACATGATTATGATATGTCAAAATATACTAAAATAATCTTTTATGCAACTTTAACTGGAAATTTTTCAAATCTGTAACATAGATTAGAAAAAGAAAGGATAGAGCATAGATCGTAGCGCCAATAAAACTACGAGAAATAATTATCTTCATTTTTGTGCAAATTTTTTTGTTAAATAATATTATTCAACAATTAATTACTTTTGGTAAGAAGTAAATAATTTTATCACACACACACATACACAAACGCACATACGTACGACAAACGCACGAGTGATTTTCAAAAATTATAAATCAAACCTTTTAAATTAAAGCAGTTCATTTCACTTAGACATTTAGTGCTTCATTAGTTTTGGAAGAATATTTGCATAAAGCTACAATAAGTGACGATAAAATGGAAAATTTTGCAACACAAGCAACAGAGCAATTGGCTTCTTACGTTAGTGAGTGTATAGATATTTAGCATTTTTAAATAAATACTTATTTTGAGATAAAATAAAGAATAAACTTGTAAAGCGTATAAATTTTAGATTCAATGGATAACGATTTATCGTGCAATAAGACAGGAAATTTTGATGTTACTCAAATTGCTATTGATCTGACAATTATTATTGATATAACATGGTCTTTTAACGAGATACAATCAATTATTGCGTAAGTATAAATTATACATAAATATATTTTATCCATGTAAATAACGTTTGTCTCGTCCTTACTTCGTCATCTACGCAATTACTTTTTATAAGAACAATTCGATAATTTTTCGTAACAAAGTTAGGTGTGCTATACAGGTTCTAAATCACTACATGTTAGTACATATGTACATATGTGTAAGAAATATATGACTCCTAAGGATATCCCAAGGACATTCTGAGGATGTTGAGGATCTCTCAGTTGCTATACTATAGGACGTCCTGAGAAGGAAATGGGATATCCAGAAAAACATCCTCAGTACCTGTCCTGAGAATGTCCATATGCTATTTGGGATATAAGCACTAATATATAGTGAGTTGGAACTGTGTAACTTACCTCTACTTAGGCCCGGTTGTTTCATCTTTTGGTAAATTTTATCTATTAGGTAAATCTGGCAATCCGTGCATATGATTGGGTAATCTTGCTACTTACCCAACAGGTAAAATTTATCAAAAGGTAGAACAACCGATCCTTAACAAGTTACTTTTTTCAATAAGAAAAACGCGTAATAATAATAAATTACTTTTCCAAAGTGATTATTTCAACCTTAATATTATCGTTATCATTATGAAAAATTATAATTTTATAAATCGTTATTATAAACATAATAATATAATCGTATTACGAGTAATGCATTATTTTCCGTCTCTAAAGTTATGTTATATAAACATAATTTCAATGAATAAAAATATTTTTTATTTTAACAATGTAAAAATAAAATTATCAAAAACGGCTAAAGATGAATTAATAATACAGAATATCAATAATAATGAAGTCATACATTTAATATATTTATAACATTGAAATTTCAAGCGAAACTATAATTTCGACATTACAATATCTTTTTCAGTTGCAAAAAATTATAAATTGCTAGTTTCGCTCGAAATTTTAATATTCTAAACACATTAAATATATGCTTCATTATTAGCATTCTCCATTATTAATTTGTGTTTAACCGTTTTTGATAATTTTTGTGTTGCGTTGTTATTTCAATAACAAGCCGGTCATAAAATTCAGCTGATTTTTTATTTTTTTCTTAATAGAAACATATTGGATAAAATCGACATAAATCAGTACAATAGTCAATTCACAATCATTAATGGTCATGATGGCAGTATCATATTGAATACTACCAACAGTATTTTAGACTTTGGTTTATATAATATAAACAATTATACAAATAATGGTATGCTTGCACATTTTATAGTAATATATCTCAAATGATTGTATTTCTATTACAAGTAATTCAACTTGAAAATAACTTTTTCAGTTACTAACGGAATTAACTTCGATCTTCCTAAATCATTTGACAAATTGTGGGTTTTGCAAAAAAAGAAATTAAACGATACACGTTATGATCTTGGAAACGTAAAATCTGATGTGGTTTTAATTATTCCATATACATCGTCTATCTCAAGTTCTGATAAGGAATACTGCATACAACAAATCAAGAACATGCGAGAGCAAGTGCCGGGTAAATTACTTCCTATAAAAACTACTAGCTGCAATTATTATCTATATAATATGTTCTGGATGTCCCAAAATAATGGTATCATCTTTCATGAACAAGTAGAATGAATTAAATTGGGGATCGATTATACAGAGTGTATTCTTAAATAACGCCCACTAATCATATAGTGCTATTCCTAATAAAAAAATCTGAACGAAAAATCCTGTATCATTTTGCAATTTTCGCAATAGTTAATGAGATATTAATTTCTAAACGTTGCCGAATAAAATCGATGCATAAAACAATTTTAAGATATTGTTCAATGTTCTTTGTGAAACATTTTGAAGATGTTTCTTAAAGAACTCTTAAAGATATCTTAAAAGTTGTTTTATATGTTGATTTTAGACATTTTGCTCAGAGGATAACTAAGAAAAAATATTGCGAAAATTACAAAATGGTAGAGGACTTTTCGATTTAGTTTTTTATTAGGAATAGCAGTATGATTAATGGGCGTTATTTAAGAAACATCCTATATATCTTGAAATGAGATGAAAATTATAAAAAGTGAGCAAATTCTAAAATATTAACAATTTCATCACTTAGTATTTGATCATTCGGATTAACATTTAAGTATTTGCTCATTTTTGTGTAATTTTTACTTTGTTTCAAGATACACAATCGATTTTCTGAATTGAAAAGTTATCTACTATTTTGTAATTTTCACAACAGTTAACAAAATATTAATTTGTAAAGATCATCGAATGAGCACATATTCGCCTAATCTACCACTAAATACACGACCATTCAAGGAACACACTCTATTATAGTTAAGAGAAAGTCAAAGTGACTTTCTCTGATATCAAAATAATGATTTTTGGTTACAAAATTTGACTGCTTATTAACTTTAAGCATCAAAATAAAATTATTTTGACATCAATTTGATTTTTTGTTAACTTTTGTATATTTGATCAGTTGTGAATGCTAGACATGAAAAGTTGTTTACTACAAATCTAGAATTGCCGTAAAACTGAAATCAGAGAAATCAGAAAAAAGTCAGGAAAGTCATGGAAGTCAGGAAATTTTGCGAAATTTTTTAGAAAAATCAAATTCTCACAATGTAAAAATGGTTCACATGAAATGAATGAGGCTTCATTATCGATATTATTGCAGATACCACATTATTTATATTGACTTATGGATCGATAGATAGATGGACAGACCTTATATCATCAACTAATTTGTTTACCGTGCAAACTACTGCAGGCGATATAGGAAATTCAGCGACAATTACTAAATTAATTTCGAGGATAAAACAAGGTATGTGTAGATCAGATCGTTTCCTTTGAAATTTGAATCTATATAATTTTACAAATATTTCATTTTGTCGTTATAGTTCCACAGCGGTTGATCAATACACAATGTGGAGAGAATTATGTTAGTGTTGGAAAGTCGAATTCATTTATCAATTACATTGAACCGAATTCAGTAGTCTTTTACAGAATGCATCCTAATTATTTCTTTTCTACCGAAAGCGATCATGTTTCTAAGATAACGGTAAAACTTTTCATACACAAAGAATATTGAACATATTTTCTTTTTTAATAAATATCTTTTTTAATAAATAAATATCTCTTTAGATTCACAGTGATGATAATTTAAAAGTATGTAAATCGCGACGTTTTCAAAATATTAATGAGACAAATGACTGTGTATCAATAAATAATAATGCATATACTATTGAATTTTCCTGCGGTGATGCTGGTTTGATACATCTTTGCGATCCGTTGCACCTCTTAATCAGTGCCAATTCTTCAACTATAAATTTTAAATATGGTAAACACAAAAAAATTATAAATTTAAATTAAAAATTTAATATATATAGTAACTGTTAATATGTCACAATGGATGTATCCAGTACAATAACCGCTCACTGAGACACTGAACGCTCACTGAGCAAGGTACTTATTATGGAAAATTTCGAAACGAATTCTGATCGGAATTATTCTGTTCTCCCTAGAAAATACAATAGAAATCTAGATTTGAAAACTATAATTGAATAATTCCGATCGAAATCTAATAGATGCCTTGATATAACACTGAATACATTCAATTTTTTTTAAGTATACGTACTCTTAAATA